CTCTTCCCAGGTGAGGCAGATCGGTCGCCGGCAGCTCACGCCGGCTGCCAGCCACTCACGGTAGCTTATGGCAGCCCACTGCAGCTCCGCTGCAGCCTATGCCGTCCCGGCGATTCGCGGCAGCCCAGCTTTGGGTCGAGCTGTTGTTCACCATCTTAGCTGTAGAGGGCGTAGTGTCACTGGCCCGCATGTAGGATCTGAACCGGGGCCCTGCTGCTCAGAGCTGGTGTCCTAAGCCAACTCTTAACCAACGTGCCACTCGGCCGGCCCTTATCCAGGGTTTTATATTTATAGACGGCCTTTCCTTCTTATACCTACCTGGTACATCATGCACAATAGGTATACAATCCATGCTTGTTGAATAAACTTGAACCAAGTTTTGCCAGCTGTGGGAAGGCTGGAGATGCCATCCATGTGTTCGCTGCCGAGGAAGTGAGCTTGGGAAACCCAGTGAACTGGCCAAGAGATCTGGAGGTGACTTTGGCATTCATAAGTTTCCCTGTTTTACCCTCACAACAAGGAGCCTGGTGCATTTGTTAGTTTTATTCTCCCCTGTCTCATGGGGATTGGTGCTAAGACTAGGATGGGTTAAATGGCGTGTCCAGTTAGGTCATACAGGGTCAGAGCTAGCATTAAAAAGTCAGCTATGTGTGACTCTAAGACTGTGGTCTTCCCAGAGTCCACGGTGTCTACAGTAGGCTGTCTGTCTGGAAGATGCCTATGTGAGCAGTACTTTTATTTGCTGGGCAGTGGGGACCAAGGGCCTAGGGATGATTTAGACCTCAGATGCCCTTGGGTGCGGTAGAGAATGGATTGTCAGATAGAGAGGGTGGGGAAGGGATGGAGGTCGGAAGGAAAACCAGAAAGACTGGAAGAAGGGAAGCTTGGAGGCCTTTGTACTCATCTAGGTAAAAGGTCATACAGGAGGCTGGCGAAGAGGAAATAGGAGCTAAATTAACCATCCCTTGGAGGCTAATGGGAGGGGCCAGACCAAGGGGATGGTGACTGGGAGGGTGGTAATGCTGCTCTCTCCCCCTCCCCATTTCAATAACATTTTAACCCCCAACACAGGATTTCCCTAAGAAATAAAATGGCTTTCTAAGCTTGTGTCTTTACTGAACATTAATCCAAGAAAGAAAAATTCTTTCTCACAACACTGTTTTCTGTAAGCTTCCATTTCTAGACAAATATCTTCTCAGAAGTGCCCACCTTCCTTGCCCCTGGGTGACCTGCAGGTCTTGGCAGCTGAAGCTCTTCTCCGACCTGGGCAGTTCTCTAAGCAGAGACTCCTGATGTGGTTGGAGATGAGGAGTTGGTTTGTTCTTTCTGTGAAAGAAGAAGGCATTCTGGGAAGTCATGGTTAGAGGGACCCTCAAAGGAAGAGGAAAGGCCCACCCCCGTTATCTTTGTTACAGGCACCTTTTTTGTCACACCCCATCGAGGACCTCCAAGTGAAGCCCTGCAGGCTTTTTTTTTTTAGTCCAGGAAAAAAAAATTTGTGGTGTCAGTTTTTCTTTCCCTTAGGAACTGGTATTTTTTCTTTATAAACAACATGAGTCCAGGCAATGGATTCCATTTCCCTTCTGACTTTGGCCACACAAAGCCATGAACCAAAGCTGTAGTTTATCTTCAGTAACTTTTTAGTACCCTCTGACCTGCATATCCACGCATCATTTTCCTTTTTGTACCTTCATGAGTATTTTTGTTTTTATTGGTTATGAAAACAATACATAATCACTGTTAAAACCTGGCAAGTACGGAAGAGTTTAGATAAGGAAAAAAAAAAAGCACCCGTGATCCTATTGGCTATATCACCATAAATTGTTTGGTATCTTTTTAACTTTTTTGTTCCATTTTTCAAATATGAAAACTGAACAGAATATGAATTCATAGAATACACATGTATAGGCAGATTTTATATATATGTATGTATGTAAAAATTTCCAAGAGAAATTAAGACTCTTAAAGACGGCAGAGAGACATTTACTTGAAGTGGATTCAGTGAGGGAGTGAAATCAGGAAGGAGATGAGAGTAATAGGGAAGTGGGGATTAATCTAGCTAAACTGTGGGTCCTGGCAAACAGTAAGGTTATGCTGAGAAATACGAGAAAGGAAATGACTCAGGAACTCAGAGAGGGAGCAGAGATGAGACAGCAACATGAAAGAGTAAATGGCTTGTCCTCCATTTGGGAATGGGGTGAGGGGTGCTAAATGACTTGAACAAGAGGATAATTTAGTTTTCAGATCATATCATCAGCCATGTATTAAGCTCTTGTGAGTAATGCCTTTGCATTTGGCATTCAGACTGGGGGCCAACCCTGGACATCATATTAGCCGAGCCTTTGGGCAGAACTTATGTCCTGTGGACTGGTCTGCAGAAGCTGGGAATTTGAGTGGCTTACTTCTCAGAGTCGTTTCAGAGCAGTGAGAGCTGCTCACTTAGGAAAGGCTCCCTCTTGTACTCGAGTCTTTGGGGAATACAGTGAGTGACACTTTTAATTAACAACTCTGCTGGGAACAAAACTTTCAAAGCCTTGGCTGGGTGTGGAGCTTCAAGGGTGGGCTGCGGAGGCTCCCATGGTCTTGGGGGAGTTCTGGAACTTGAAGCCGTGGCTGAGTTGTACATCTTCGGGGTCAGACCTATGGGAAGGAGGGCCAGAGTGTCTGGCCAGAAAGCCTCGCAGACTCTCTCAGGGGATGGAGGCTGGTCAGCCGCAGTGGCAGCCGCAGGCAAGCTGGGCTCATCTGCCACTTGGGGTGTGGGTCTTTCTGCTCTCCCCAGAGCCAGGAGCCACAGCCCACGTGTTCAGAATGGTGGAATGGGGGCCCAACATTTGGGAATATATCACTCTGGCTCCTGAATTATTCCTACCACTGACTGGTAGCTGAGTGTCTGACCACCGCAGTGTCCTGCAGTGTCTTCCACCATGCCGTGTCTATCGCTCCATCTCACCAGGGCTGCACTCATGCTTGTTCTCGCACAGGACCAGCATCCATGGTGTCAGAGGGTCTGAGAAAGGCTCCTGAAAGAGAGAAGGATTCCCCCTGTGTTGGTACCATAGTGGCAAGTATTTATGTAAGACATGCCTACCTTGGAAAACAAGTTTTAATAGTCTGGGTCCTGAAGTAATAGTTAGTCAAAGGGTTTCTCAGCTCTAATTACTTGGCTAAAAAGCTAGTTCACTTAACTCTGACATCCTCATCAGTTGGTCCCTCACTCTGAAGGTCTGTGATAATTCCCTGAGGCTGGCTGTGAGTTTCCACCAGACCCAAAGTTGACAAGAGGATTTTATGAAAGCTTTAAGCAGAATGACAGTTGTTAAACTGAAGGTGTAAGACCAGTGTTTCTTTTTCAGTTTTCATTTTACCCTTAGGTAATTGATTGTGATCTCTTTAGTTCAGATTTTCTCCCCTCTATTTGTTTTTTTTTTCTTAACAAGATAGTTCTGGTTCTTTGATTTAATTTCTCTCAGTTCATTTTTAATGATTTTATTTGGAGACTGTGGATGGCTCCTACAGTAGTGAAACTCAACAGTTCAACTTAATTTTGCTTTCTTTACTGAGGCTGACTTTTTTTTAAAAAAACTCATACTCATTTAAAGGCCTTTTCTTAGGACAATGTCCAAATTTTCAGTCAAGGCAATGGATGAGTTCTCCATGGCAGTAGCTTCCAGCCTGGGATGAAAAAATCTGAAGAGGGGTTTTAGCAGTAGCAGCATTCAAATGTGAGGTACGGAAGCAAAAGACAAATACAATTTCATTTAAAACTAGTGATAGTGGTTTTCAAAGGAAGTCATTTAAATGTAGGTGTGTTAACAGAGAGAACAATCCTGCTCCTCTTCTTACGGATCTAGGAGGGTCAGTAGTGTGTGTGTGTTGGGAGGGGGGGAGAAGAGGGGGTGATGGGGGGGGGTGACATTATTGCCCGTTGGTTTGAGAGAGGCAAACCTAGTTTAAGGCCCAGAACAAAGGTCTGACCTTTAGCTTCTGCTGTGTGTTGTCTTTGATAAATATAGAAAGATCTCAGATACAGTTCCTAAAACAAAGTTGTGGCACCAGATGAATATGCTCATCTTTAAAAGAAAAAAGTAATAAACTCTCAAAAGAGCTAGAGCTCGTGGAGTGGCACAGTTTATAAGGCATCCAGAGTGACTTGTGATGTGGTTTGGAGGGAGTTCGGCAAAGCTTAAAATCCAGCCCATCCTTCTAAGGACATATCAGAAACTCTGGGCAGAACCTTATGTTGTGCTAGTGTCTCTGAGATTAAGTCATAATAACAAAATACTAGAAGCTGTATATGACCAAAAGCCTAATCATGTTTTCTCCCCCAGAAACCTTTATGCCTCAGCATCTCGGTTTCTCCATAACCTGGCACTTGGCTTCCTACACTTCGTACCTGCTACTCCATTCTCCAGCTACACACAGTTGTTCCCTTGCACCGTAGAACATAAGCTTCTTGAGGGTTTTATATATCACCTAAATGGGCCTCACAGTGCCTTACACTTAGTTAGAGCTCAGTAATGCCTTGTTTATGAGGTTGGTTTCAAGGGCCCTGTCTATGGCTGAGGACAGGCGGAGGTGACCTCATTATGTCAATTACATGAGCCTGGAGAGTGTGGGAGGGCCCTGCTTCTGGAGAGGAGTTCACACTGTGGTATCCGGGGTGCAGGCTCCTTGGGCTGTGGGGAGGTACCCCCGGTTGTCTGTCCCTGGGATGGCAGAAAACCCCTATGAGGGTTTTGGCACATAGGGGCAGCTGGGACAACTAAGTCATAGGCTTGTGTTCAGAGAGTCACCTGCAAAATCCCCAGTGTGGCCCAGTTTGGATGGAGGGTAAGTGACCTGACCTTGCATGAAAACAACTGCAATGTGTCATCTGCTTGTAAGCAGATCCTAAGGGAAGGAGAGCTAAAGCCATTTAACTGTTGTGCTGTTATTGGTGATGGTGATAATGAGAATGATGCTGACAATTAAACAGATAATTGTTTTCCTTCTTTTAGTCACATAGAAAAAATCACCACATGGCAAGACCCTAGGAAGGCGATGAATCAGCCCCTGAATCACATGAGCCTCCACCCTGCTGCCACTTCCACACCAGCACCCCAGAGGTCCATGGCCGTGTCTCAACCAAATCTTGGTAAGCCCAAGCTTGAGTAAAACGAGCGTTCAACCAAGAGGCTGTGGAGCTCAGAAGCAGCTCTGGTTGCCTCAGGGCCTCTCAGGCACCCAGGTAGTGTTTTTGCCTCCCTCGTGGCTGCATTATCTTTCCACCATCTTTGCCTCCTTTCTTGGCCTCTTTGCTACGCAGCTCATGGTAGGCTACCTAGGGTTTACACTACAGTTCCAGTATCCCTTCCAATTGCCTTTATTGAAGTTCTTTGAAAAATCACATGGGCCTCCTGTCTTCATCCAGACTAAAGCAAGTAGGGCACACAGCCCTTTTCTGTGAATTTGGTCCCTGAGACTCCCGAAGGTACAATTCTGGCCTCAAATGCCTTCCTTTCCTCTCTCCCTCCCTCTCTTCCTCTCTCCCTCCTTCCCCCCTCCCTTCTTCTTCTTTTTTTTTTTTTTCATATTGTGTAACTGATACCAGGACAGGTGTTTTCTTGCTTATTGCACTAAATCCTTTCAACAACCCTACAAGAAGTGATAGCATTCCCATTTATAGATGCAGAAACTTTCTCACACAGCTTGTGACTAGCAGAGCTGGAGTTTGAACCAAGGTTGGTTTGATTTTAGAATGTATTCAGCCATTGTATAATCTACAAGTGGCTTCTCCCCATACTTGCCCTGGAATAGTATGACCCACTTGTCACTTCATTTAGAATGTTTAAGTATATGATTTTAGACTTGAGAGGTGATTATTTTCTGCTAATTGACTTAACTTCAAAAGAACTAAAATTCTGCCCAGTAGGGATAATCAGATGTGAATTAATACATTACAGCAGTAGAACTAATCAGCTTTTGTTGTAGTCATTCTCCTTTGCCCCCAAAAACTAAAGACAAGAGGGCCGGTTTTAAAATTTTATAAAAGATGGTACCATTTTCATATAACATTTCCATTTAAACCAAATATCTAGATACTGCTTTATACACAGAACAGTTAATTTTAGAGAATAAAAAGAATCTTCTGTTGGATTTTCAGGAATGAGCAGAATAAAAATGGAAGTCTTTTTCCTAGACACCCTCCTCTCATACTGTGGCTTAGCCAAAGTGAATATGAACTTAAGTAACCCCGAGTCAACTTCAAGTAAATATATTGTCTGTTTTCCCCGGAAGTCTGGACCTACCATTTTTAAAGCTTGCAGATATAAAATATATCCAAAAAGCAAACGACTTGGAGTAACTTCTGTTGTGTTCCTTGTCTAAAGGGCAAATCAAGGAAAATGGCACCAATGCTCCTACCAGCAGTGGTAAACCAAAACTTCCCGTGAGTCATTTGTCCCCAATATATAAGAGCTCAAGTGGAAAGCAGATGCAAGTGTAGTAAAGAAACCACAGATTAGCTGTCATTAGTTTCAAGGTTTCTTCAACCATTTAATTTTCATTAAAAATTCTAAAAACTGATTATTAAAGTATTAACTTTAACTCTGTATTCAGTTATAATTGGAAAAAATCATTTATGGACCTGGTTAAGAAAAATTCAAACACTTTTTCAAAGAGGTGTTCAAAAAGTAAGTCTTCCTCTGATCTCCATTCCTCTGTCTCTCATATGTTGGCTGGAGTCAACCAGTGTTTTCAGTCACATGTATGTAATTCTTCACACAAATGCTAGCATGTTATACCCACTGTTCCACACCTTGCTTTTTCCACTTATATAGCCATGCATATAGAGCCGCCTCATTCTTTTTAAAAAATTACCTAATAACCCAACATATTGGTATGCTATAATTAGTTTATTTAACTAGCCCCCATTGGATGGATATTTAGTGTGTTTCTAGTACACAAACCACTGGAGTTAATTTTTAAAAATTGTGTAACAAGTAGAAAGTAGACTATAAAAAGACCTTAAATGCCTGAAACTTGATACTAAAGGCACATGTGAATCTGCCTGTACACACCACACACACACACCCCAAAAGCCCAATTGCTGGTAAAGTATATCTAAAGAAATTGTAATCTGAATGTCTGAAACAAGTTTACCTGTGGTTCAATAAAATATCTTACTTTTCAGATTTCTAATAAATTGGGGCAGTAAATTTCTCAAGACACGCATTTTGTTTTTTTTCCAACAATATTTGAGTGTTTGCCCATGGCAAAGTGTGCTACTAACCTATAGAGAATCACAGATGTATCCCATAGATGGAAATATAACGGGGAATGCAAAGTAAGCTCCACAGACAGGGATAATTTAGAGAGTCACAATCTGGTCCTAATAATAAGTGACTTACTCAGAATATTTTATTTCAACCTATAGGTCTGCCTGTAGTTTATACTCTTTGTTGTCAGTCTTTAAAAATATAAGGAGCAGATTCTTTTTAAGATTTAGAATATGGTATCTTATTTTCACTATTTTAGAAATAGATATTTTATATATGTTATATATAATATACCTGTCATATGTATTAGCATATGTAAACATATACATATAGTAGCATATATAAATAAATATCTCTCTCTCATTAGTATTTTGAATGTGATTCAAAATTACTATGTCTGTTTTACATCAACTGCATTTTTTTTCTTTTTATCTTTTGACCCGAGCGTATGCTCCTCTTTTTCCTCCTACTTCTTAAATTTACAACGTTGGTCTTTCAAAAGAATATAGCTGACAAATAAGTTAATTTAAGTGATATGTTCCCTTCACTGGGAGATAATTATGTATGTGTGAAAATGATGTCAAAATATAGTTAATGACATTACTATCAGATGATAGAATTTATACCTTTTATAAGCTAATTTAATGTATTTCTAGAGCTGTGCAATAATCAGTCACATAGCTAAATACATTCAGCAATAAACCTCCATTGATTGGGAGTCCATGCTTTGCTCTATGTTAGGTACATAGAGTTAGGGGATCAGACTGTCAAAATTTCAAGCCTGGCCCTGCCCATTACTAGCTGGGTGACTCAGTTAAGTTACTTAATTCTACCTCAGTTTCCCCATATGTAAAATGAGGATTATTTTTATAGTATGAGATTATATGAGTTTATATATCCATGCCAAGTACACAATAGGCTGTAAGTAAGTGTTTATTCTTAATATCATTATTTGTGGAAAGGAAAGTTTTATATTTTATTTAATTATAAAATGTTAGGCTTGAAGACATTTTCATTTCTTCATTGTAACAGCTCTCAAGAAAAAAAAAGATTTATTTTGTGCTGGTTAGAGTGCAAAGGGCTTTAAATTAGGAACAATATTTATTCCTTTCAGTGAGGATAGCGCCCTCTGGTGGAAGTGTTTCAGTCCCCGTTCCATCATGAAATGTGGCTTATAAACCAATCCATATTTTAATTCGGAGAAGAGAACCTATTATTTAAAGGTGTCCTGGATTAATGACTTCGTGAAAACAGAGTATACTTTTGTCAGCCTGCATCAGTATCCAGTGAAAAGGCATCTCTCTCTAGGATGGCAGATTTGTTGTGTATCTAAACTCACTGACTTTTCAAATGCCTCGGTAAAAAGTGAATTAGATTCTGCAGGGAGAAAATGTAAAAAAAGTTTTTTTGCACCTTATTTCAAATAACCATTTCTAGCTTTGTCTAGTTTTTAACTGAAATTGGTTTTGTATTTACCAAATCATGTTGTTTGTCAGGTTTTATCCACTTTGATTCTGTCTGAGCAGATTAGTGACCTTTGAGTCTGAGTGCCCAGAGCTAGTGAATACAAGAAGAAAGGAAGACCTTGGAGGACTTTAGATAATAAAGAGGAGGGAGTACCACTGGGTGGAAGCCTATCACTTGAGGGCCGACAATTTGTTTGAAACCCTCACTTTAATGTAACACAGTGAAGAGGGAAAATGACTACAGATGTGAAAGTTGATATTTTTCATAACACAAACCAGATAGGATCCCATATCTTTTAAGTGGGTTGTTGGTATGATTAATTACTATTAATAACCACTAATATTTTTTTAAGGAGTTAAAAAAAAAATGAAACAAACCAAAAAAGCCAAAAGACTCTACACAGTCCCTATTATAATATACAGCACAATGGGCTTGGGGAAAATGGAGCCTGATAAAGAAATCAGTTAGGATGTGAGGGTGGTGATGGGGCCCCCCCCCCCCCCCGGGGTGCACGGCAGGGGACCTTTTTGTTTAGTGGTTAATGGGAACAACTTGAAGTCAGAACTGACTTTCTCTTGGGTTAGACATTTACTGGTTGCATTAGTTATTTAACTTCTCTGAGTCTCATTTTCCTTATCTGTAATGAGAGTACACACTGCCTCATAAAGTTGTTTTGAGTATTTAGGGACCATGCCTTGGTCCCTGGCATAGAGACAGCTTCCAAAAAATACATGGTTATAACTCACTGTTAGCTGGTGGCCTGGCTTCCCCTCACTTTTCTGGCCCCTGTGTATTGAAGGAAGACCCTGTTGTGTGTGCTCCTTTCTCAGGAAAACCCAGCCACCATTCCTGCAACTTTCATTCCTGTAGGTTTTCTCGTTTGGGCATTTTTGCTTACACATTGTGAAAATAATCTGTAAGCCCAGACAGCAACTGTGAGGAGGTGAAGAGGGGGATGCTGGTGACTTGGCTCCTTTACTGTCACATCACTAATGGGGAGTTTGTGAAAAGCAGGCACAATTTAGCATATCCCTATATTTTAAAATGTTTTTGCCAAGAGAAAGTGACATGCAATTTTGCTTTTTTGGTGATAATCTTAGTGATCATAAACCAGGGTTTGTGTGCTGGGCTCCTGTCACACGTTAATGACCTCTTTACTGGAGTGAGGCCCTGACTGGGGGTGCCAGTATCCTCCCAGACAGGACAAGAAAAATAAAGACTGTGTAACAACTTTACCAGCCCTAGCCAGTTCAGAAACTTTTGGTGAAGTGCAGCCAGAGTAAATTTTTAATGCTATAGGCATTTAAAAAATCACGCACGCACGCACACGCACACACACGCGCACACACCCACACCCACACCCACACACACGCGCGCGCATTCTTCCCCACCTTTGAAGATGTGCTGTCCG